AAAAAAAAAAAAAAAAAAAAACAATAATTTTTTTCTTGGAGAGAGGAGGGACGGGGGAAAATATGGTCAGAACGATGAAACACGTTATAAAAAAGCGATTTGTAATTATTTCGAGGCTTCTGTATGTAGCATAGTGACTGCCTTAGTGTTAATGTACACCTTATTCTGCCGGACCTTTTTGTCTTTGGTACTTGTAGCTTATCGCTAGCCTTTGGTTTTAGTGATCACATCAGTATTTCCATCACTTAGATTGTTGTAGACGTTTATTTGTTGCCCGTTTATGTGCACTGTACATTGAATGTTCCTTATTGCTTTCTTTTACAGTTTAAGTCATACACTGCGTACCCTTCGCTTTTTTTACACTTCATACTTATTTTACAAAGTTTAATTACCTAAATTTGATGTGCTTCTTGGTCAGGGCTTTTAAGTCATGAAAAGATGGTATGTGGAGAATAATTTTAATATTTACGTTAAAATCTTTTTTATTGCTTTTTTACTACGTTCAACTTTTATTCGGTAATAATTAGTTTGACTAAATAAGTATTAGCATATCAATACCTGTTCAGTAGCCAGAAATGGTTGATTCTAGCAAAAATATTTCTTTATAAAAGCAAAATCGGACATGAGGTTTTGCTTATTCACCGATCATACTGTTACAATTATTTAAAAATATTTTTACGCCAAAAAATCTTGTTCTTCAAGTGTCGCAAACTGCCCCTGTATCCAAAACGACATAAATTCGTTTATCTGAAAAAATATGACTATGATAAGGCTGTCACAACTGCCCGGCTACAGGTTTATTTGGATTTTGGTGAATTTTGTTTAAGATGAATGGCACGAAGGGGTATTCAGAATGTTTAAGCCAAATTATGATGCAGTATGTACAGCGTCAGTTTCTCCAAAACTGGCACTGTTTCACGTGTAACCGAAAGATTTTTCAAGAACATTTAAGCGAAACGCAGAAAAGAATTCACCTGTTTCGGTTTCACCAATGAACTCAAACTTACTCTTTGAACTTTACTCACAAGGAAAATCACAACGATTCATCCTCTGATATTTTTGCTGAGGTGCATGTATCCTGTATGGGATGCTTTTTACCTCAACTTTACGTATTTTCCTAAACAGTAATTTCAAAAAGTTCTCTGAAATTTCCAACTTCAAGAGCCAAAAGTTACATTAGTTTTACGCAGTCTATCTTTTACCTTTCTATGTCAAATTTCTGAAATAAAGCTTGCTAAAAAATGCTTAAGAAAAGTTAGAAAAATTATATAAAAGCACTGAGACAGCATGTAGTCGTTATTTTTACTAAAAAATATATGGACCGTGATCCTGAACATTTGCTTACGTGTTTTCTTGTATATAATTAATAATAACTTGAATTACCAGATTCTTTTGTTCGTCATACTTTCGAGGCATCCCTTACGAGCACTTGCTGCAACTGTTTGG